GGTTGGGGCCCACTCCAGTGACCCTCCTGCCACCGCATCCATAGCCCTGGAGTTAGATAAACATGCACACATGTCCAGCCTTTACCTGAGTGCCAGACAAGCCTTCCTACCCACTGAGCCATCTCTCTAGGCTCCAGAGAGAGTATTCCCCTCATTCTCTAGACCCTTCTGGCTTCTCTGCCCAGCTCTCAGCACAGATATATCATGTTCTAGAACCATCTATGCCTGGGAAGAGCTGATGGTAGGACCCTGCTCCTCACCGAAGGCTTCGTATCTGTCAATTCTGAGTCTGGGTTTGAGTTAGGTCAAGTGCTGTCTCTTTCAAAAGTTACATAACAACCACGAGAAACCCTGAGCGTGGCATGGAGCCTCCCGCCTTTAATCCCAGCAATTGGGAGGCAGAGGCAGGAGGATCTTTGTAACTTTGAAGCCAGCCTGGTCTACAAAGCGAGTTCTAGGACAGCCAGGGTTGTTATACAGAGAAACCCTGTCTCGGGTGGGGAGGGAGGAGATAAGCTCTGATCTTTTTATTCCCTCAGAAATGGAAAAATTTCTCTAACCATCTTGACTTCACCTTAAATGTTATTAAAAAGTAAGAGATGATTTTCCCACAGGTTCTTATCAGTAGCACTGGGTGTGAAGCCTGGTGTTTTGCTGTGTTTTGGCTTTCACTGTTATTTCTGTAGTCTTGGAACTAAAATGACCTTGATCATGCTAGGTAAGAGCTGTCCCATTGTCCTGTCCTTCCAGCCTGACAGCCAGGGACAAATGCTCACATCAACCTAGGGAAATCTCTTCAAGAAAAATTTCAAAAACAAACATACAAACAAGGTATTGAGGGTTCTGGGAAAAGCCCGTGAGATTGAAAGCCCAGACAGAATGGGTTCCTTTATCTTCCTGGGTTGTGGGGTCTCCTGCAGCCCTGACTGGGGTTGACCTTGCCTAGTGACAACCTTGTTGAATTTTCCCTTCAGAATGGGAGGTCTGTTGCTGAAGGTTATAGGGGGCCTAGGGTCACCTTGTACAGGCTGAGTCTGGGATCTTCTAATGAGAAGGACTAGGCCCCGTCAGCCTTTTGCTGCCAAGCTGGCTTACCTCTTACCCTCTGCAGTCAATCAGGCAACCTCAGCAAAGCCTATAATTTAAGAAATAGGAAAATGGTTGGTTCCCAAGCCTCAGGTGCTTGCGCTCTGAGCAGGCGAGGGTAGTGGGTGGAAGGGCGCAGTGGAAAGAGGGATGGTGAAAAGGAGCCCCCCACACACACACACACACTAAAGAAGTCCACAGAGAAATGGAAATGAAGTTGAGTTAGTGACATGCTGTGCCCACTGAGCTGAAAGGGACACCACATCCCACAAAAGGAGGAACCGACAGCATGGTGTGGTGATCGAGCCTGGCCGGACGGTATAGCAAATGTGTGTGTTTGGTCCGACTCAGAAAGTGACATGAAGTAGAAAGTTAACATTCGTGTCTCTTTGCTTGGATTAGTTTTGTGTTTCAGATGGTTTCTCAAGGCGGATGCTCTCCCTCAGCAAGTGAAGATGATTAATCCTATCTCAATTAGAAAATGGGGACCATTTGGGCCCTTTATCTTCTTCCATGACTCACTCATCCCCAAAACTCATGCCTCTTGAGCATTTGCCCTGGCTGAACAGAGGTTCCAAAGCCATCATCCCATTCTCAGGTGGACTGGGGAAGCAGATTCTGAGCCTGGCTCCCACCAGCCCCGTAGCTAACATTTGGGACCACAGACCTGCCTGGTTAGTGGCAGCTGCCAGGACCCTCAGGCTCCCTGTGGAAGGCCCCCATTCGCTCAGCCCCTGCCTCTCATCTGGCAGGATAGCTTGCCAAGAGCCCCCGAGATCTTCCTTGCACTACCTGAGACAGGGCAGACAGGGGTGGGTCAGAGAGAGTCCGTCTCATTATGTCACACAGCCTCGTAGCTGGCTCCCTCTTCACCTGTGTCAACACTGCCTGGTGTCAGCCCAGTGACAGCTGGAGGGGTAAAGCACCTGGTGTAGTTGTCCTGAGGGACAGTGCCAAGGCTAGAGAAACGGTACCGCCCAGTGGTCACAGGACAGCCGGCCCTTTCTCCCCGCCTCACATTGTACACACCGTCCTCCTGTCGTTCCTTTCTGGGGTCCCAGGGCTCCACCCCAGCTTCCCATGTGTTTGCCCTTCTCAGTAAAGCCTTTGGCATTCAGAACTCTCCACTTCAACCCTGAGCTTTGCACGCCCCTGACCCAGCAAGCCCCTCCCACATATCATGACATCTGGACCAGGAGAGGTTCTTCCCAGACTGCTTCGTCCTGCCCCACTGCCAAATCTCCAACTTGCACAAGAGTTAAAACTCCACTCCAGGGGTGTGAGTTCCTAGTGCATGTTCCTGAGAAAGACCCCAGCACTCAGGGCTACGTGAGGGCACACGAGTCTGCTCCTTGGTGAAGGCCAGAAGTCGCAGGTGCTCAGGCTAGCCCTTCCAGGTTACATGATTTGGGTCAAATCCCCTGACGGTCAGCCTCTGTGTGACGTGGGGACTAGCCTAATCCTAATAATAATCACGAGTAGAGGCTGCCTTCTCCACACGTGGATGCCAGCCAGCTGGGAAGCAGCCTCTGAGGAAGAGAAGCATGCCTTCACAGGCGGAAGTGCATCCCAAACGGAATTGGCACAAGCCGCAAAGACATCCGTTTTCTTTTTAGCACAGGAAGATAGGTGTGGGAGCCCAGGTCCGGGCGAGTTGGTCATGCAGTGCCAGGCAGGTAAGAACTGGCCATCACCCAGGTGCCCAGGACTTGTGTGGAAAGGATGGCCAGCAGTCAGGGAGGAAGCAGAAAAGCAAACTTCTCTTCCCGGCAGTTGCCTTTCGGGCTATGCTTCATCAAGACCCGGTTATGGTGGAGGCCGAGGAGCCCCTGTGGGTTAACGAGTTCCAGGGACAACTGGGAACTCAATTTTGTCAAAAGCATCCATTGAATCTAGCCATGAGTCATGTGTTTGGTGAAAACTCCAAGGTGCGGCAGCCTGGCAGTCTCTCCGGGAGAGTGGCCTGCTGTGGCCGCAGTGGCTCCCCTGAGTGGTTGGACACTACCCAGGCTGTGGAGGCCACATACCTCAGCTGCCCAGCTGCCCCACTGGCTTGTGCACACTTCTTTTATTATAAAACTTAGACATGGGGCTGGGGAGATGGGTAAAGCGCTCATAGCGCAAACATGAGGTCTTGAGTTCAGATCCCCAGAAGTCGTTTAGAGGCTGCTGAGCCTAGACTCTCAAAGCTGGGTAGGCAAAGGAGCATCTCTGGAGCCTGCTGGCCAGCTGTTCTGGGGTCAGGGAAAGAGCAACTGAGGAAAACATAAACACCAACCTCTGGCCTCTACATACGTCAACTTGCACACACGTGGCCACACACATGAACATATACACACAGTACACACAACTGATACTCAGTGAAAAAGCCCAAAATAAGCAATGATCCATATCCCTAAGATGCATCGTCACAGTGATGATGTATTGCCTTTCCTCCCCTGCAAGTCATACAAACCAGGCCAGACAGATTCTGCTTCGTGACGTGCAGTTCCCAAATGAACAAGAATGACCTAACCCATAATCAATTACTCAAGGCTTTTCACCTTTCTCCTTCCTGAATATTCCCCTTCTTGTCCCCACCCAGAGCTCTTTCTCTTTAAGATTTCTTCGATTTCAATAATGTGTATGAGGAGTGTGTTTTGGGGGGGCGAGGGCAGCAGTAGGTGATTGTGTGTGTGTGTGTGTGTGTGTGTGTGTGTGTGTGTGTGTGTGTGTGTGTGTGCAGATGGCCTCAGAATCCAGAAGAGGGCATCAGACCCCCTGGAGCTTACAAGTGGTTACGAGCTGCTCCTGGGTGTGACGGAAATTAAACCTGGGTCCTCTGCAAGAGCAGGAAGCACTCGGAACCACTGAGCCATCTCTCAGGCCCCTGCTGTCCTGACTCTTGAAAGCAACAGAGACTGCAAGGAAACCTTGTAATTTTTATCATCCAGTATGATGTTTATGTTGCTTTGAGTTGGATAGTCTTTGTCAATGTTAAGTACAATCCCATTTCCCTTAAAAAAGAAAAAACTATTGCCGGGTGATGGTGGCGCACGCCTTTAATCCCAGCACTCGGGAGGCAGAGGCAGGCGGATCTCTGTGAGTTCGAGACCAGCCTGGTCTACAGAGCTAGTGCCAGGACAGGCTCCAAAGCCACAGAGAAACCCTGTCTCGAAAAAACAAAAAAAAAAAAAAAAAAAAAAAACTATTAAAAATCATTAAAACTGGACATTCTTTATTCTGTTTTCCCCTTATTTTACTTGTTACATTTCTAAAAGCCTAGTAACCACCAGACCTCCCTGACTGTCCTCTTGTTTTTCAAGGTGTCCAATAGAGAAAGGAAGGAAAATTTCAGCCAGGCCAGAATTCAGAGTCTTAACTTAGAGAGAGTCCTTCGGCGTGACAGACTAGTGATTAAAAGGAGCTTTGGGTTCAGATGGTCACTTAAGCATCCAGTCATTTAGCCGCCAATTCTGCCCTGGCTGTGTTGTGTCAGGGGGTGAAGTGGGGCTCTGATGGGTTGTCACCTAGCAACTTAAGCCAGCAGATGCTGTTGTTCAGGTAGAGCAGGGCTTCTCCACCTTCCTAATGCTAGTGACCCTTTATACAGTTCCTCATATTGTAGGGACCCAACCATAGATTATTTTCGTTGCTACTCTATAAGTGTAATTTTGCTCTTATAAATTGTACATATCTGATTTGCTAATGGTCTTAGGCAGCCCCTGTGACAGGGTCAGTCAACCCCCAAAGGGACTGCAACCCAAAGGTTGAGAACAGAGGAGAGAATGTCTGGCAGGGAGGGGTGCCTTGGAGAGGCTGCTCTACCGAGGTGTTTTACAAGGCAAGGGGGAGTTTGAAGCCTGTGGGTCAGACTTCTGAAGCCCAGAGCACGGTGAGAGAGTGAGGCCCACAACAGTCTCTCCTCTTCCCAGAGCTGCCCCAATCAGCAGCAGCTCCTGACCACCATCCGCCAGCTGCAGCTGATGCTCAGGGGCCAGGAGACCCGCTTCACGGAAGGCATCCGAAACATGAAGAGTCGGCTGACCACGCTGCAAACTATTCTGAACAGAACGGTCTCAGGTTCACCTCCAGGTGGGTCCGAAATCATCAGGCTAGGGCCAAGCACTACACTCAAGAGCCTTCCCTGCAGCATCTCCATCCAGTTTCCCCCTGGCGTGTCTGCGTGTCTGTTCACACGCACACATTAAAGTTACTCCTGTCCCCTATATTTGATAGTCACCTATTTCCAGGGTGTTTTTTAATGATTTATTTATTCCAGTTTTTAAAAATGATTTATTTATGTGTGCCTGTGTGTATGCACATGTGTGTGCTTGTGCCCAAGAAGGCCAGAGAGGGCGTTGGATCCCTGGTCCTCTTCAGGAGCAACAAGCCCTCCTGATCACTGAGAAATCTCTGCACCCCCCCCCCTTGTTTTCTTTTTATATTATGTAGCTCAAGTTGACCTCCGATTTGCTGTGTAACCAAGGATGATCTTGAACTCCTGATCCTCCCACCTCTGCCTCCCAAGAGCTATGGTTTGTCACCACACCCAGCCCCTTTCCTCTTACACCTTTTATTCTAGGCTTAATAGCCACATAGGTAGCAACCTATAATCCCACGGAATTGTCAGGCGCATCGCTCAGCAAGCAGAGGTGCGTTTCACCTCCCTGTCCTCCCCAGAGAGCACGGTCCACTCTCATCCTGCTTCTGCCCCTGTTTTCATTTTTGGTGTAACGTCTCTTTGTCCAGCTGGTTTGAAGTTCACAGCCTGGAAGGCTCAGCTCCTTCCCACCTGTGCCCCCCCCACAGGCACACTTCCACCCCGACCTGCCCAGAATGCGGCACTACAGCCCTTGTGATTTTCCATGAGCCAGCATGGCTCTGGCTTTTCCTGCCCGGAAGTACATTCTCCAGTGACTCACCCAGTTGGTGTGGGAATAAGGGCCCCCAGAGTAAGTCTCATTTGTCTGGGTGACAATGGAACACCCCAATTCCCTCCACCAATGGGAGGGCTCTAATACTGGGTCATGTTTTCCTGGTAACGCTTTTCACTTTCTAGGCCTGGGGGTGAGCACTGGGTTTCTCCTGGTCTAGGGGCTTAGGGGACAGGAGATGGAGCCTGTGGGATACCTGACATCATTGGTCCCCTGTGACTGTTTTCTTAAGGCCTTCTCTGTTATGTGAAGTCACATTTCCTGGGGAAGGCTTTCATCATTGGTTCAATAAATCACATTTCTTTCAAGGCTCATTTATAGAACATACTCTGTGTGCCAAGCACTTGGCTGGGGCTGGGGCTGGGGCCAACAGAAAGAACATAGGCCAGATCACACTTAGGCAGAGGACGCTGACAGCAAGCATGAAGACACAAATGTTCAGTAGTCACAAATGCTAAGAAGAAAACAAAGCACACGGGGACAGAGATGCATGCCAGCCAGGGATCCCTCTGGGAAGTGGTGACATTTGAATAGAGAGACCTGAAGAGCAAGGAGGAGCTGGCCTGGTGGTAGACTGAGCCTGTTCAGGAGACTTAGGACATCCAGGAGGCTGGAGACAAGAGAGAGCAGAGGAAGTAAGTGTTGGTCTCATCAACCTGATGCTTGGCACCGCCCTGTGAGGTCCTGTACACACAACCCTCCGTGTCTCTGAGCATCAATTTCCTCAGCTTTCAATGGGCCAACTGTGTGTCCCCTCCTCCTCTCCAAGAACACTGGGAGGTCTTCATGAGATGTGGCATGTAAAAGGTGTAGCCCCATGCCTAGTCTGCAGCAATCATGAGAGAGAGAGAGAGAGAGAGAGAGAGAGAGAGAGAGAGAGAGAGAGAGAGAGATCTTGTGAGTGGCATCCATGCCTCCACAGCTGCAGCCCAGGAGGAGGGCTCCTAATCCTTCCTCTTTACCTTACAGTTTCCTGCCCTGCTCTGGACGCCCCCGCTGATGGCAGGAAGTTCGGAAGCAAGTACTTAGTGGATCATGAAGTCCATTTTATCTGCAACCCTGGCTTCCAGCTGGTTGGTCCCAGCAGCGTGGTGTGTCTTGCTAACGGCACCTGGGATGAAGAAAAGCCGCACTGCAGAGGTATGGCCATTCTGCCCCCTCCACACCACACAGCGTGGGTGTGTTGGTCAAAAAGGGTCATCCCGGAGACACCTGATTCTCTCTTTTCTTTGTGTGTGTGTGTGTGTGAGGGAGAGGCAGAGACAGAGAGAGACAGAGAGTTCAGGTAAAGACATGGATTAACCCGTAGGCTGTCAGTTTGTCCTCAGTCTCACTATTTGCTACTGTGTATGCCAGGCTGGCTGGTCAGCAAACTTGCAGGGTTACCATAGTCCACCTGCCAGCCAGTCTAGTTGAAGTAGAAAGCTCCAAGTCTTGAAATAAAGTGGACAGTTTCAAGACATCCGACACCCTATTCTGGCTTCTGTGGTCACTACACACATATGGTACATGAACACACAGACAGGCACACACATGCATATAACATAAATGAACATTTTCAAATTTTCCCCAAAATATTAGGTGATAAAGATGGACACACGGAATGGAGGCAAAAACACATGAGCCATAAAGACACTATGGAGCTTTTATTCTCTGGTTTCAACTCTGTCTCATATACATACATATATACATACATACAAACATACAAACATATGTACATACATACATATGGAATTTTGAAATTTATGTCCTGGCAATGCTGAGGCATGCATGGCGGCTTTGTTTAACTTGTCCATATTGGGTTTCATGGTCTAAGTTAATGAGGACAACTGACCAGGTCTCTTCTTCAAGAGGGCACCAGATCTCATTATAGATAGTTGTGAGCCACTATATATATGTGTGTGTGTGTGTATATATATATATGTATGCATATACATATATATTCATGTAGGAAAAGTGAATTTGAATTTCTTGGTATTGAAGTATCTAGAACCATTAAACAAACAAACAAGCAAACAAACAAACAAATAAATAAGCAAAGTAATTGATTGTGAAAGTGTAAAAGCCCAAGCGAAGTTCCATGGCTTCAGGGTGGCCATTCTGTGTATAAATTTACTGAGATGGTCAGAATTGGGACTGGGCCTTAAACCAACTGTGTGATGCTTGACTTGTGAGTTGGTTAGAATAAAGTGATTATATTTAATTTCTTTTTCAAGATGAGATCTTGGATATTTTTCGTCTCACTAAGTGTAAACTGGGCCTAGATGTTTACACTGTACTGATGGCACAAACTAGGTTACAACCAACTGGATCAACAAGCCGCTAGGCTCAGCCTCCCCCACGTTGGCACGCTGTGCCTACATTGGCACACACGGGTGCTGTCTTCAGCCAGGGCCGCACAGCAATGCCAGATAGCTGCTACTGAATCTTCTCAGGGAACTGTGACCATCCTGATTCTGGGGATGAGACTTAGCGTTGTTGGAGTTGTTAGGATCAGAGCCTTAACTACACTTGGCCACCTGTCCTCAATGGGCCAATTAAACCGACGAGTAGTGAAAACCAAGCATAAAGGCCTGAGCTTGTGCCCCAGCACCCACATAAAAGCAGGGTGTGATGGTGTGTATCTGTAACTCCAGCACGGGGGACCGAGGAACAGGCAGGTCACCAGAGTCTGTTAGCCAGCTAAGCTAGTGGAATTGATGAGCTCTGAGTTCTCAAAAACTAAGACAGGGGGCCTGGAAAGATGGCTCAGTGGTTAAGAGCACTTGCTGCACTTCCAGAAGACCTGGGTTCAATTCCTAGCACCCACATGGTGGCTCACTCACAACTGTCTATAACTCCAGTTCCAGGGGATCCAATGCTTTCTTCTGGCTTCTGTGGGCACCAGACATGTACACGATGCAAGACATACATGCAGACAAAACACATATTCACATGGAATAATCTAAACATGAGCAGCAGTAGAGAAAGACACTCAGTGTTGACTCCTGATCCCTATTCTGGCATGCGACGCTTATACGCGTGCACACACACACAACAAAGAACTGTATACAGTCTCTTCCTGGGAGACAAGTTCCTCCTCTGGTTGGCACCATGTTTTAGCCTTTTCTTCCCCCAGGATGAGATTCCTGGAAAAATTCCAATTCTTGCTGTCCTTTGTCTCAGTCCTATGAGAGCCAATGGGTGGGAGTGTCAATTCCAAATGTCTTCAGAACGCCTCCTCTCCTGCCAAGACAGTTCCATTGGGCTGGAGCTCAGCAATCTGGTGACCAGCAGCTGCTGAGTGTGCCCAGTTCAATTTCCACATCAGCAGTTCTGTCGCTGTGTGTTGTGACCACGGGGCACAAAAATCTTAATTACAGCCCTTCACGTCAAGACACAAAATCTCAGTGCCAGTGAAACACTTGGCAATGCTTTAATAACTGGCCAGTGCCCACTCCGCAGTCAACTGATTGGAAAGAGGGTGATGAACCCTACTTGGCCTAGAAGGAAATTATATATAACAGCACCATTAAAGATGCAGCAGGCAGAGGAGCTCTGGAAATCCAGAGTGGAAAGCAGCCAGTTGGCATTGCGGGTCTCTGTGAAGGGCATTGTTGTTATTCTTGTTCTTGCTCCTTTTGAGACAGAGCCTCATATAACCTAGGCTGGCCTTGAACTCAATATGTAGCCAAGGATGACCCTGATCTTCTGACCCTCTGGCCTCTACCTCCTGAGTGCTGCTGCAATTACACTGAGTTTTTGTGGTGCCAGAGATTAAATCCAAAGCTTTGTCCATGGTAGGCAAGCGCTCCATCAGCTGAGTGTCAGCTCCAGTCCAAGGGTGGGTTTTTTTTAGGGTGTGAGGCTTCCTGAGTTGGAGAAGTCATAGCCATTCATTTTGACTCTTTTGACCCCAGGGAAAACCAAAGGAAAAACTTGAGAGAAGTAAACCCCTTTGTCGCTTACCACAGTCGTGAAGCACTTCCCTACAGGGGCCATTCAATACTTTCCTAGGTAACCTTTCTCCTGTTTTCATAGGCTTAAAAGTGTCAATCATTTTAGACATTTTTTTTTCTCTCATTAAGAAAAAAGTTCAGCCAGGTGATGCCAGTGCATGCCTTTAGTCCCAGCACTCAGGAGACAGAGACAGATGGATCTTTGTGAGTTTGAGGCCAGCCTCACCTACATAGTGAGTTCCAGGACAGTGCGAACTACATAATGGAGAGACCTTGTTTCAAAAGGAAGAGAAGAAGAAAGAAAAGGAAAGGAGAGGAGAGGAGAGGAGAGGAGAGGAGAGGAGAGGAGAGGAGAGGAGAGGAGAGGAACTATCGAGGGAGAGATGGCTCAGAGGCCGAGAGCACCAGCTGCTCCTGCAGAGGATCTGGGTTCAGTTCCCAGCACCCACAGCTCTGCTCATTACTGTCTGTAATTCCAGTTTCAGGGGATTCAGGCACTGCACACGTGTGGTACTCACACATACATGCAGGCATACAATTCATAGACATAAAATAAAAATATACTTTAAAAAAAGAAAAAAAATTAACACATAGAAGTATAGAAGGAAGATCTTATAAACTAAAACTCCAGTAACTTTCACAAGGTAAATTTCTTAGTGTCACAAAATGTCTAGCTCAAATACAATTTTCCCTATTGTTTTTAACACTGTTTGAATTGGAACCCAGACCGTATTTCTAACTGGTTGTCCTGTCTCTTACGTCTCGGGAAGTGTCCCTTGGGTTCTCCTTCTGAGATTCATTGGTTGATTCTTCAAGAAAAATTCAGGGCCAGTTTTCTGAGCTCACACATTTTAGAGACAATCTATTAAAGGTCAGCTTGATTGGAGGTAAAACTGCCCATCTCACCTTCTGCTCCCTTGACTCTCTTAGATGCTATGCATCTGATCACAGGCATAGGCTACCACACCCAGTTTTATGCTGAGGACCAAGCCCAGACCCTGATGCATGCTAGGCAAGCAGTCTGCCAACTAGGTTACACCCCCAGCCAGGACTCTTTAATAGAAAACCTTAGTGCCAGGGGGAAGTCTGGACGGACAAGAATCCCCAAAAGTTTCATGCCAAAATGTTGATGAGAACCCAAGTTGAACACAAAGAAAACAAGTGCAAATAAGATATTGTTGTTCACATAAAGATGCCATCAGGAGGGTTAGAGAATTGACTCAGCCGTTCAAAATACTTGCTTCTCTTGATGAGGACCTGGGTTTAGTTCCAAGAATGCACAACCCCTCACAATCATTTGTAACTCCAGTGCCTGGGGAATCTTTTGCCCTCTTCTGGCCTCCATGGGAATTGCATGCATGGGATACACATGCACATACATTCAGGCAACTCACTCAAACATGTAAGATAATAAAATAGATCTAAAAACAAAATGGTTATCATCAAGACAGAGCTGAGGAGGTAGGAGGTTCTGGTTTTGGTCATGATAGGAAGATACCAAGAAAGGAAATTTTAGAGGCCTGAAGGTGCTAAAGGCCCACGGGAAACTTATTTCATGTAAGTACGAGTGGGGGAAGAAAGGACTCCTGCTAAACCCATGCAAGCTGGTGCACAAAAATAAAAATTTTAAAAAAATGGAGAACAAGTTTCCATGAATAACAAAGAGTTGCCAGAAATACATTCCCTTAAAACAGAAGGAAATTATAAGCCAGTACTTCAAATCAAGTCAGTAGAAGGTTGTAAAATATAAAGACTATGAAACATCTAGGCTCAGCAGGGAAAGGCTCTCGCCTCCAAGCCTGATGACCTGAGTTCAATCCCTGGAACCCACAGGGTAGATGCAAAGAATGAACTCTTAAAAAGTTATTCTCTAACCTCTCCACTCATGACATTCATGTGTTCCCTGCCCTCCCCCCAAATCAAAATAATGAAATATAAAAGCAACATTAAAAAATAAGAAAACCTTAGAAATAAAGTCACTAGAATAATGGGAAATTTAAAACAAAGTGCAGAAGCCCAGGAAAAAGTAGAATGAAAAAGGAAAAGGGGTGGGGGAAGGAATGGGAATGTAGCTGTACTACGGTAGTGTGTTTGCTCTGTGTGCATGAGGCCCTGAGTTCAAAGCCCAGCACCACACAAATCAGGCATGGTGGTTCAGGCCTGTAACCTTACCACTCAAGATGAGGAGATAGGAAATCAAAGATCAAGGTCATCTGCCACTATATATTAAGATCAAGGCCAGCCTCTGCTACTGGAAACCCTGACTCACATACATACATGCATACATACATATATACATGCATACATAAATATTTTTAAGAGAGAAAAAGGTAGAGTATACTTATGACAATTCACTTTCATGAGGCACACGTATTCATGAAGCAGGAGACGGAACCGTCACTGTGTCCACGCTTTGACTCGCCAGCCTTTCTTCCCATCACTGCCACGGCCCTCTTCACAGTTCTAAAGTCATAACTGAATGCCACATCCTGGGATACCCTTGAATGTGATGACGACTGTCCTTCAATTGGGACATAGCATTTGCCTGCCTGGGCATCAGGCCATTGAATACCTCTGACTGCCCGTCAAGATAAGAAACGCAGAACGTCTGCCTGGAGCCTGCAGAGAAATGAATACACGAGGCACCTGTTCACATCTCAGTCACCCTAGCCCCTCCTGACGGGCTCGGGTGCAAGCGCGGCTCGGCTCCTTCCACTGGAGTCTCCCCGAGGACAGATAACGGCTGTGGTGCGCTGACACCAAGCTGAGGGATATAAACGGTCACACTCTCTGGCTTCCTTCCCGTACCTTCATGGTTTATTGATCTGCCCGCTTTCAGAGGGGGGCAGTAAGCAAAGATAGGGTTGGACCTTGAGAGACCTTGGAAGACTGACAGGGCCTGGGGGGAGGGGGCAATTGTGAGTGGTATGGTCTTGAGTGCATTCCTGGAAACTGATCATCCAAAACAGGCTGACTGGGAAGCATGTCATCAACCCGAGGTTACGGGGAGATGGAAATAGTGCCTTCTCTGTGGATGTAGACAGCCTGAGTCTTGAGGGACCCAGAATGAGGCTGTGGGTCTCGCTGGACGCAGAGCCCCTGCTTCTTCCTCTTGGGAGACACACAGAGAAAGGTCATTAGGCCTGAAGGGGACATTCTCGTGTCCCCCTCCTCTGAGAGACGCTCAGAGGATAAGAGCAAGTACAGTTCTGCACTGTAGCGAAGTTAGCCATCTGACAAAGCTCCTCTTGGACAGAAATGGCTCGTGCGTCCCTGTGCTTAAATGGGCCTGGGACATTTGGAACAGTGAAGGTTTTACAAAATCATCTTTTCCAAAGTAAGACATTTTTTAAGCGTTTGTTGTAGAAAAGGGAAGAATACAAAAAGTATAAATGAGAAAAAAACTAAAAACAAACAAATGAACAACAAAAAAACACCCATTAACCTAGCACAGAAAATTGGAAACTCAAGTTTCCTTGTGGGGTCAGTACTGGGGATGGGAAACTCATGCATGCAGGGCAGGTGTGCAACTGCTGAGCTACCTAACTCAGAGGGGGAAAAAATCTATTGAACGTTTAAAATTCTCTTTCTTTCTGCCTCCGTTTCCCTCTCCTCCCCTCTCCTCCTTTTCTCTCCTCTCTTCTTCATGGAACAGCTCCCCCATTGATGGAGCTCAGGGGTACTGAGTATAAATTCAGAGAGTTATTTTCCCTCATCTCTGGATATTCCAATGAGCCATCCTCTCGCCCTCTTTTAATTTCTTGGAATTTAGCTCCTGTTTGAAAGATGATCCAGGGATGACAATGCGGCTCAGTTAGAGTAAGGCTAGCGGGCATGAGGCCCTGGGTTCCAGTCCCAGCATCAAATAAAAATCGTTAATCTTAGCACCCAGGAGGTGGAAGCAGGAAGTCCCTAAATTCAGTTTCATCCTTGACTTCAAAGAGAGGGAGTTCAAGGCCAGCCTGGGCTCCACCTTGGAGCAGAGTTGAAGAGCCGAAGGGCCTCCTTCACAAGCAGATGCCAACACCTGGCCGCAGCTGTGTACGCTACACCCTCGTAAATTCATGGAGCCTGGACGGTGCTCTGGCAGTTCCTGCACACAGAGCCCCGTGTGGGCGCAGTGTGAGGCAGGGGCTGCGGTTCAGCTCCTCGGTTACTCCGCGGTTCCCACAGGTAGAGAAAGGGCAAGGACAAGGTGAAAATGGAGAAAGCCGGGGTAGTGGTGTGGAACATGTCTGTTCCCAGGAGGCTGAGGCAGGAGGATCACAAACAAGGGTGCCCAGCTGGGCTTCATAATGAGACCTCGTCTCAAAAACAAACCAGAACCCAAGCCAGACAGGAAGCTGGAGTGGTCCTACCATGTAAGGGAAAACCCGTAGTTGGTTTTTGCTTGATTTCACACTGGAATCCGAGTAATCACGTGTTGACTTCCTTTCCTAGCCACCAGTGAGTGCTCTAGCCAGCCTTGTCACAATGGGGGCACGTGTGTGGAAGGAGCCAACCAGTACAGATGCATCTGTCCTCCAGGGAAAACTGGCAACCACTGTCAGAATCAGATCCAGCCTGGTATGTAGTCACTGCGGGACTTGGTGAGGATGCTCCCCTGGGGGCTGGCAAGGATGCTGGTCATGGTCACCAAAGGCAGATATGTCAGGAATTCTTGGTTACCATGCACTGAACTGATCCCTAAGGTACTCATTTGGATGGGCTTAGCTCTTTTTTTACAATTTATTTATTATTTTATGTGCATTGGTATTTCGCCTGCATATATGTCTATGTGAAGGTATCAGATCCCCTGGAACTGGAGTTATAAACAGTCATGAACTGCCACAGGGGTGCTGGGAGTTGAACCCTGGTCCCCTGGAAGAACAGCCAGTGCTCTTAACCTCTCAGCCATCTCTCCAGTCCCATTAGCTCTTTCTTTATAACCAGAGATTATAAAGATTATTGATCCTTCCTTTGGAGAGATAGACTCCAACTTAACAGCGTGCGTCTTAGGGCCTGGGAAGACACACTGGGGCACCTTTGCCTGGTTAGTGTTTCATCCACTAGCAGAATCACTTTTTCTTCCCATTCCTATCACACCCTGCAGAGTTAGCAGGGCAAGGTGTTTTAGATATAAATAACCAGATATTTGATTAATGAGTTCCAGCAGGTACTATTCTTGCAGAGGTCAGGGGTTCCCAGCACCCACATGGTGCCCACAGCCACATGTAACTAACTCTCTAGTTCCAAGGAGATCAGGAAATCTTCTTCTGGCCTCCATGGGCACCAGGCACCACAGACTGTACATATATACACACAGGCACTTACCCATAAAAATCTTTTTAAAAATTCTTTCATCCCCGCACTCAGGAGGCAGATAAAGGCCAGCTTGGTCTGCACAGTGAGTTCTAGGCCAGCCAGGGCTACATAGTGAGACCCTGGTTTTGCTTGTTTTGTTTTTATTTCATTTACCTTATTTTTTTAATATTTATTTATTTATTTGTTATATATACAATATTCTGTCTGTGTGTATGTCTGCAGGCCAGAAGAGGGCACCAGACCTCATTATAGATGGTTGTGAGCCACCATGTGGTTGCCGGGAATTGAACTCAGGACCTTTGGAAGAGCAGGCAATGCTCTTAACCACTGAGCCATCTCTCCAGCCCCAATTACCTTATTTTTATCATGGTTATAAAACTACTTTCTGTTCTTGGAAGGACACAAAAGCTGTAATAAAAGAACAATCACCTTGAACACATTGAGAAGTCCACAAGCTTGTATACACAAGTGTAGACACACACACACCAGAAAAAGTAGAGGCTCAAATGTTTAAACTTTAGAGCTCCCTGCATTGTGGGCATTGTGGGCATTGTGCTCCCTGCACTGTGGGTATTACACAAGATTGTAAAAATGAATCTCGGACTTCACACTGCAGTACACCTGGCTGTCCTGCTATTGCATTCTGCTCTCTTGCGAGTCCTGTCCGGGTCGAGGTCCTTCTCTTTAGGTTGAAAATGAAAATGAGTTTTATGCCCTGGCAATGCTTGAAGCCCGTATGGCATGGGCAGCCCGTATATGGCGGTTCTGTTGAACTTGTCCATAATTGGGTTTCATGGTCTAAGCTGATGAGGTTTCCTCCTCAAGAAGGCACCAGATCTCATCATAGATGGTTGGTAAAGTAATGGTTGCTGGGAATTAAACTCAGGACTTTTCACTTGTCATCCCTTCCCTTCTGTGGAGTACACATTGGGAGATAGGGTCTCGCCCATCCTGGGGAGCACAGCAGGTGCTGGAGGGGTGGGGCGGGTCAGGCGCTGAGTGTGTCTTCTTCCCGCAGAGGCCCCAGAGGACGGTGTGATCCGCGACCCCGGGGCCCCGGAGGGCGGCATGCACAGCGACTCAGCCTTCAGTCACCCGCCGCATTGCAAGCAGGTGGGGCAGGAGCAGCATTGCAGCTGCGAGGCGGGATTCCATTTGAGCGGCACCCTGGGCAGCGACGGCGTGTGCCTGGGTAGGATTGGGCTCCGCGGGGGAGCGGGGACCTCGGGAGGAGACGTGAGGACGTGAGCCTAGGAACAAAGGGTCCCATCTGCAGTCCTGGGGTGGAGTGTGGGGTGGGGCGAGGTTCTCCCTGGGCATGGTCTCAGAAATATCTGTGATTTGCCTTTACATAAGGGTTGCCAAGATGAATGAAATTAACGGGTAGACTTCAGGGGGATTCTGGAGAAAGACGTGGCTGCGAGCCCATCTTGGGTCCCAGTGTACACTCTTATCTTCCCACGGCTGGCTCCCAGGGCCTTCTCTGAGACAGTATAGAGAGCAGATAGAGTGCTGGGAATTTGTATTCAGTCTCTAGAGCACTTGCCTAGCATGCATAAGACCCTTCGTGCAATCTCATCGCCGCTTAAACTTGGAGTGCCATTGCAAGACTTGAGATATGGAGGCGAGGCAAGAGGGTCAAAAGTTCAAGGCCATCTTCTGTAACACAGCAGCAGGTAGGGGAGGAAAAAGACAGTCAGGGGGTGATAGCCTAGAGGAGCCTTTTGCCTACAAGCGTCCACAGCCTCCTCCCCGCCTCTGGGGGGCGTGGCCAGCGAGTCGCTGGGAACATTTATGGCAGACAGAGCCATGGCTGTGGGCACAACCTGAGACTCATTCCCTAGTCATCTCCTCAGTTTAACTAATTCTAGATCCCGCTTTTGATAACAGCTAGACAACAGTTCCACCCTGATCTGGCCAGTTAATGCTAAGAGGTTCATTTCACAGCATCAGAAGTAAAACTACTCCCCCTCCCCTTCTAAAGAGGAGTCTCAATGTACAGCCCAGACTGGCCTCAAATGGAGATCCGTGCTTCAACCTTCCAAAAGCTGAGCATACAGACCTGCCACCCTACCCAGGCTGCAGGGCTCTCTTACCTCATTCTCCATTGCTGAAAACGAGGAGGGCTAAGCTAGGTGTCTGAATCTGGTTTTCCTCTCCCAGTGGGGTATCTGACTTGCTAGACTTTGTAACGTCTCCCAAGTCAGACTGAGGAGCCCTCCTAGGGTCGCCCACATCAGCTCCTCCCAATCCTCCCTTCAGCTCTCTTGGCCCTAGACTGGGGGAAGGGGAGCATCCCAGATGCTCCTCTGTAGGTGTAGCTTGTCGCTTCATCCAGCTGTTTAGGCGCAGCTGCCAACAAGTCTAGTTGATGGAGACCGCACAGCCTCCTGGAATCAAGGGCACTTTTGTCTCCAGATGTGAACGAGTGTGAGATCTACGGGCAGGAGGGACGCTCCCGGCTCTGCTTGCATACCTGCGTGAACACCCCTGGCTCCTTCCGCTGTGCCTGCCCCAGTGGATACGGGGTCCTGGCTGATGGCCAGACCTGTGAGGGTGAGTGAGACCGCAGCAGAGGCGGCGGGTGACCACCAGGCTAGAGGTCACCCCTGCTCTCACCCCTGATTCCCATTCGGGAGTGATTAGGCTAAAAGAATCAAAGCCGGGTACACATTCAATCTTGGAAAAGAAGTTAGTAAAGAGAACTTTCAAAGATCAGGTTATATATCTTCTATACAAATTAGCTGTTTAACCAGCCAGCCTCTTCTGACCTCATGTGAGTGACATTTCTGGGGAAGGGCACTTCCTCTTATTCAGCAATACCTTCAGCTAGACCTGAACCCAAAGGCCAAAAAAGCCAGCCAGAGTCCACTCTACTGGAATCTGAAGGGACCTAGGAGGCTTCATGGCCCTGTGTGTCCACCCACTAGTGTCTTCTGACTATAGGTGCTGTGCCTCAGCACGGCCAGGCTCTACAGCGCTGGCCATGTGTGGTGGCTAGGACAACAGAGAGACAGAGCCACCAGTGACAGGCAAGGGCTAGGGACCGGCCTCAGAGGAGCCTGACCACAGTTGTGGCTGGAGTGTACATCTACCACCAGACTGCCCCCAGGCTGAAAACAGAGACCACAGCTGCTCGGCCTCCATATGCAGGCTCCACTAGACACCTGAGGCCTGAAAACAAGAGGGCCTGGGGGCCAAAAGGCCTGAGAGCCTAGGCAGACAGCCGGGCCAGTCAGTCTCCCAGGAACAGAGAATAGATCAGAGCGTAGGGTGTAAATGCAAAACACCTCAGGTTCTACCTAAAGGCCACCCATCCATTGTGACCCCCTGGATGACAGGGCTGAGGGTTCTCTGTTTCCAGAAACGGTGCAGATAGCCCCTTCCCCAGCAAGGAGTGTCTGCAAGGCAAGTGGGGCATAGAAAGGCGAGGCTGAAGCTGCAGTCCCCTTCACGGACAGCAGACAAATCTAGCGGAGGCTGGGCACACCAACAGGAGGTCTCCCGCTGCCACACTTCCTCTGAAGACAAACATAGAGATTAATAACATAGATACATCAGTTCTCCATACTAACACAATCAGAATACAGCAGCCCCTCCCTCCATCCATGGGTCAATACCCAAATCCGGTTGAACGGTATCAACCCTACTTGCACAACGTTTCTGTCCTATAGTACCTACCTAGCGTGAAGTTTAATTTATAAAGTAGGCAGAGCAAGCAAAAACAACAACTAATGACAAGAGAAATAACTATAATATATTATAATAAAATTTATTTAAAAAAAAACAATGAATGGCCTGTTTCTAGAGATTTTTATTTAATATTTTCAAGCTGCAGTTGGCCACAGGTAAGTCAAACCATGTATCATTTGGGGCTGCTGTACACAGTTCAGGCCTGAAGGGAAAGCAGAGTCTCCTCTTACTTAGCTCTATTGGGGCTTGGGGCTGCGGGGGACCTCTGGGGAGAATGCAGCTGCTTCAGGCTCACACTGGGAGGATGTCCAGGCCTGACTCCTCCATGGACGAGACACAGTGAAGGGAACCCAGCAGGCATCCAAAAAATGGCTCTGAATTACTGGAGAAGAAGGCAAAGAGAAAGGGCTGGGGGCTAAGTCACAGACTGACTTGGAATATAAAGAGAGAGGTGGCTCTCTGGTGACACCTTATGGGACTGCAGTGTATGTAGAGGAGTGGGCAGCAAGGGAATAGGAGATGTCCAGACGGCTACTATCACACCCACCCACCTATACTTCCGCTAACCCGCCCACCCGTTGATCTGTCATCCAGCATCCGCTCCATCTCCTTCTCACAGGGCTCATATGAGTCCACATCGGAGTCCTTGGGCTTGGGAAGGGCCAGCCTCCAGCCGGATAAACTCACTGGATGTCTGTAAAGGGCACAGAGAACTCTGATTAAAAACAACTGAGCAGGCGTGTTTGCTTTTAGTATGAGAGGCAGGCATCCCTAAAGGTTTGAGTCTGATCTGAGGACATCCATGGCATTAAGGAGACTCAAAAGCACTTAGGGCTGAGAAGCAGGCAGGCGACTCATTTGGTGTTGACACGAACCCCTACCACTTGTCACACCCCAGGAAAAGAAGACAGCATCCCAGGGAAGGGGCTTCACCCCCAGAGTCCTAGAGTACATCTGCAGGACCTCAGTTTCAGAGTTTGAAAGAGAACAGAATACCTGATAGGTTCTTGCTCTTAGGGGGTGGGCTCCTGGCACTCACTAGCCAGCCAACGTAGCGGAACCAGTGAATCTCAGGTTCAGTGAGAGACCCCGTTTAAAAAAACAGTGTGGATATGTGATTGAGGAAAATACCCAAATAGTCAACCTCTGGTCTCCGCATACATACACGCTACATGCATGACACACACAGAGTAAGTGTTGGGTGTTTGGAAAGTTCACCCCTGGTGGAGTCTCCCATCCCATTGCCTATTGGGGTTTCAAGTGGCTGTATTGAGACAGGAAAGGCAGGAAGATTCACAGCCTTCATTGTGTCCCCTGAAATACAGATGTTGATGAGTGTGTGAGCTCACAGCACACGTGCCCCCAAGGGACCACATGCTTCAACACTAGAGGAAGTTTCCAGTGTGTCAAACCTAAGTGCCCTGAGGCCAGCAGCAACATAAGCTACGTGAAGACATCTCTCTTGTGAGTAGATCCGGAGCATGGATCCATGGCCACGGCTGGGCATGCAGTTTATGGGGAGGGAGGATCGTTTCACCGTACACAGGAAATAGGAGAGACAGAGAAGCTTCTCTGAGATTCCATTTCTCCTACAACTGTCAACTCACATGAAGCGCAGACATTTTGTGCTTCCAAAGAGATGCTAGAGTCTACAGGAGTGTGGCCTCTTCAGGAGGGCAGAGGGGGCAGCCCCTCTTGAGTTTCCCCAAGCCTAACCGTCTCCATTTTACCTCTGCTCCAGCCAGTGCGAGCGAAGCCCCTGTCCCATGGATAACAGGCTGTGTCGCCACATGCCTAAGACTGTCACCTTCCACTACCTCTCTCTACCTTCCAACCTGAAGACGCCCGCCACGCTCTTCCGCATGGCCACAGCCTCAGTTCCTGGCCAGTCTAGGCACAACAGCCTGCGCTTCAAAATTGTGGGTGAGAACAGCCGTGGCCACTTCGCAATACAGCGCTCAGACCGGCAGACAGGGGAGCTCATCCTTAAACAGACCCTGAAAGGGCCTCAGACTGTGCAGTTGGACGTTGACATGTCAGAATACCTGGAACGCTCCTACCAGGCCATCCACACTTCCAAAATCACCATCTTTGTGTCTCCCTATGAATTCTAAGGACGCCATGGTAGTCGGAGGACTGAGATTTGAGATCTGGGTTGATTTCTCTTCTCCAACGACACAGCTGTAGGCAAGAGCTGCGATGGTCATTGGCCATTTCTCCTCTTTGTCGTGTTCCCACACACATTGCCTGTTCATCAGGGCTTCTAGAGCAATGTGCTGTGCTCTGTCCCACGGGCCGGCACAGGAGGGACGGTCCGAATACAAATGCTGTACCACCATTGCTCTTCTCGTTTTTTCTGCTCTAAGTGCCGCTGCAGCTCTCCTCTTTGGAGACAGCACAGAATCTCAAAATGCTGTGTGAACGATGATCGTGTGAGTTTGAACGAGCTGAGGTGGGGAAGGAGCTCATGGGGCCTGCCTGAGATACAAGCCAACTGTTCTGCATTGAGGTTGCCACGCTTGTTCTGGCTGAGCATGTTCTAGCTCTGTGAACGGTCTAACATCCCTGTGAGCCTTCTTGGAGGGGGTGGGGGCTGTAGGAGAGCCTAGGAACCCCGAGTGGATCCTACTAGACCAAGGAGTCAACATTCAGTCATGGATTCTGCCAGAGTTTCTTCGCTTTAGAGAAAACATGTCTCAAAAACATGACCTGGTATTATGGCTATGGGCTCTCTGCCCATCTGACTTCTCCCTGAGCTGGAGAGCACATTCTGGCGAGGGATAGCTCTCGTCCAGCCCAGGTTGGACATAGAGGGACAAGAGAGTGAGAGAGGTAATGTTTCCAATTGTTTCACTCGTTTCTCTATAGGTTGGTCACATGGGAGATCAGGAAGGATGGCATCTGGTCATGGCATGTTTAGAATACTCAAATTGTCTTTCCTTTCATGGCTTTCTTCTGTTGCCGCTGCTGAAAGAACCAAGTGGTGATGTCTTCTTCTAGATGAACAGAGCAGGAAAACTCTCCCTAGCACTGAGAACTGGGTGGGATGGGGGAAATCACTTCAATTCCAATTTAAAACTAGATGGGTTGAGAGGAGTTACAGAGTCCAAATATGCATTAATCTACTGATATTGCTTTTTATAGTTTTTATTTAAAAACTATTTCTTGAGGATGGGACAGGCGGATCGTGAGTTCGAGGACACCCCTCTGGATAACGCAGTGGGACTGTGTCCCAAACAAGACAAGGGGGCTGGACCCGTAGCTCGTTTGGAAGAGTTATTACCTAGCATGTACGAAGGCTTAAGTTCATTTTCTGGCACTGCATAAAACTGAGTACGGTTCTACATATCTCGGTTGCATAGCCAGTTTGAGGCAGGCCTGGACTACATGAAACTCTTATCAAACAGAAACCAAGAAAATACGCCAGCTCCCTATTTCCCATCTAAACCTTTGCATTTGTCCTGGCAGCCGCTGGGAAGCTGAACTAGGTGACCTTGGTTTAGTGATGAGTCTAGTGTGAAGCCCCTAGGAGAGTTTGTCCTGAGACAAAGGCCGAGACCCTTCCCGTGGAGCAGAGGTAGGCTCTCCAACCACAGGCGAGGGCCTGAAGATCTGCTATTCCAGTCGTTATGTGACTCGTTAAAACATTATCCAGAGCCTTCATTTCTAGATGGTACATGATGGTGTCCGATAGCAACTCTGGTCTCAAACAGTGTTTAGCAGTACTTTTCTCCACTGAGATCTGTCATCGTCAAAGCTGCCTCCCACTTAGGAAATCACCTGGCTTCAGTCCCTGTGGTACTTACTGGTCTGAGTGCCTGACTGCCTTGCTCCATTGTGTGGATTGTCCTTAGATCCTTCTTCCTCTTCTCTCTACTGTGTTAGTCAGCTTTGTGTTGCCGTAGCTGTCAGGGTCTGAAGCCCCAACATAAACTACTCTTCCCTCTCTGGACCAGCGTGGAGGAGACGGGAATAAAGACACGATTCACACAGTTTCATTGGGAGGGAGATTCTTTCTCAGTGGTCCCTCATGAAATCCTGAGTTCAGATCCTGAAGAAATTCTTCATTTATTCTCCAAACAGTCTTTATACCAAAACTTAACTTAGGGGAAATACATTTGCATTCTGTCTCCTAGGTAACCAGGTGAGTGGCTTTTTGTCATGTCCACAACTACCTGTCTGCACATCTCAATCAGGCATCCTCCAAATTACAAAGAAAGGAACAAAAAGATCCTGACCTTTTGTTAGGTTAGCGACCCATCTCAGATGTGGCCTATGGCTTGATGGCTTGGCTGCCCTGCCATATGGAAATATGGGCCTACCCATAGCAAGCTAGCTGTGATGGTCCACTCATAGAGAAAAGGGTTTTGTTTTTGTTTGTTTGTTTGGTTTTGCTCACAGATAATAGTCCGCGATCCTCTGGCTCTCTTGTTTTGGAGCCTTGATGAGGTGGTATATTATCATGATGACAGGAGGCAGAGCAAAGACTGTTCACCTCGTGGCGGGGAGTGAAAACAGCAGAAGACCGTGTCTCATAGTCCACTTCAATAACATGCCCTCATGGGCCAAAGATCTTCCATTAGGCCCTGCCACTCCCCAATACTTCCAAACGCATGGGCTTTTGGGGAGACATTCTGGATCCAAAGTGCAACAATGCTCCCTCGTTACTCTCAGAGATCTGCTTCCAGGTCCCCTCAAGGCTACAGTTGTTGTTAAGTCAGTGTGACCAGTTGTCAACGTGTATGCGTTTACCCGTTTTTCTGGGTAAGACAGATCCAAGCGCTGCAGATTCACAGCTAGAATAGCATGAGGGACCCCCTTGAATTATCACCAGCTCCGACAACGCCTGCCTGCAGTCCCTCCTCCCCCTCCTCTGCACGACGACTTGAAGGAGGTCCTAGACATGGCATCATTCCATCTGTATTTCATCGTGTGTTTCTAAAACATTTCTCCAAAGCGTGACCTCAACATTATCCGCACTCAACATTATCCGGAAGTTGAACAGCCGGGCCTGCGGGATGGCTCAGCTGGTAAAGGTGTTAGCTACGGGGACTGACAGCCTGACTTCCATCCCCAGGACCTACGTGGTGGAAGAAGAGAATTAACTTCTACAAGTTGTCCTTTGACTCCCACACTGTGCTGTGGTACATGCGCATCCATACACACACACACAAATAAGTAAATACATACATATATGAATACATAAATAATACAATTAGAAAACAGAAAATTAACAATGACTCCTCAATACCTCCAGCCATTTAATCATTGTTTAAATTTCTCTGAGCGACTTGGGGTTTTTCTTTGCTTGAATTAGGTCCATATAGTATAATTTATTGATAAACTTTAATATGTAGCAGGGAATCCTCACATTGCACCTTCTACCAAATGGCCTGGAAGTTTGTTAGAGGCAGAATATTGGATTGTTTAATTTTTTTTCTTTTCTTTATTTGCTTTTTGATTTTTTGGGGACAGTCTCGCTATGTATCCTGTCAAGGACCAGCCTCGATAAAAATCGCCTCTTACCACGGTAGGGGCGTGGGAAGAAATAGAAGAAATATGAAGACACATAAAATAATAAGACAGAAAACATAAGACGCATTTCAGGAATCACTCGGGCCCTGAAATCACCCGCATTTTTTCCCCCCACAGCTTTTATACCCAATGTAAACTGGCCGGGGAGAAGGTAACAAAAGTCTTCATTAACATGATATGAAAGGTTAATTCTGAGACATTCTATCATCAGCATTCTGTTGCCTAGCAGAGTCACAGAGACTGAAGACAGCCCTTCCCCAGGTGACCTCATAGTTACAAAAGAAGCACATTTGCATATCCTGACTACCTGTCAGGGTGGCCTTGAGCAATCTTAATTTTAAAAGAACCAAGTAATCACCTCCTGAGTTAGGACGGCAACTGTGCTGGTCAAATCTCCAAACTCTCTAACCTGCAGACAAGGTAGAAATGGGCCTGCATTTTTCAGCCTCCCCAGTAGCCCTGACTGGCCTAGAGCATCCTTATAGAATTTCCTCACACTCTGGGTTTTCCTGAGAGCTTTTCTTTCTTTTTCTTTTCTTTATTTATTTATTATGTATTCAGTGTTCTGCCTTCAAGTATCCCTGCAGGCCAGTAGAGGGCACCAGATCTCATTACAGATGGGTGTGAGCACACGTGGTTGCTGGGAATTGAACTCAGGACCTTTGGAAGAGCACCACTGAGCCATCTCTCCAGCCCCTCCTGAGAGCTTTTCTACAGAACCTGTGACTGTGATCTTCTGTCCTCTCTTTTCCATCTACCCTTGAGGTTCTAGACAGATATTTAGTGAGACTTGGATTGACTTTATCTGTAGTGGCTGGTACCTCAAGCGGAAGGCACCTAGTACCTGTTTCTTTCTTTTTAAAAATAAATTTTAGTGTATTTATGGCTGGAGAGATGGCTCAGCCATTAGGAATACTTGTTTCTTTTGCAGAGGACCTGGGTTTGGTTCCTAGAACCCATATCACAGTTCCAGGTCAGCCAGGGATACACAATGAGACCCTGTCTCAAAACAAAACAGTAATAATTTTATGTCTTGGAAATATCTCCCAGAAAAGCATCGCCAGTACTGCTGGTTACAATGATCCTTTCATGTTTTGTTTGGTTGGTTGGTTTGTCCTAGCGTTTGCTGTCATCCAGCATGAGTATTGTATAGCTGGTCTGTTTGTCAAACCACTTCAAATTATTCTTTGTGTCTCCGTCTCAAACTACGATCAGAACAGTTACATTTCATTCTGTTAAAGTTTTCACGTATTCGTCTGTGAGAGGGGAGGCGAGTGCCACAGCGCGCCTGTGGAGGACAACTTGTAAGAGTCGGTTTGATCCTTGACTATAGTGCTCTAGGGATCAAATTCAGGTCACCCCTCTTGACAGCAAGTACATTTACCAACTGAGCCATCTTGTTGGCCCTGATGTTTTAGCAATTGCTCGTGATTTTTGGTTTTTAATTGAATTGAATTTGATGTGTGTGGGTGTTATCCCTGCAAGTATGTCTGTGTTCCACCTGTGTGACCCAGTACTCACTGAGGCTCTATCTCTCCAGCCCCCCCCCATATTTCCTCCCTCTTAACAGCCTATTTCCCTTTTATCTTTTTACTTAATATAATGGGGCTGGAGATACGGCTCTATAATTTTGAGTACTGGCAGCTGTTAGGAAAAATGCTAAGATGAGCCGCTCGGTGCGAAGAAATCCAATCAGGTCAAATTAAAATGCCCATGTTTTATTAAATGCAGCACACTTGGGTGGCCAAAAGCATGACCCTTCCCCAGGGAGGGGTCAGGACTTGGCAT